GTTTTTCAGACTGATGTTTGGAGGGTCAAACGGTGTCCGATTGTTCTGAAATTTTAGGAGCAGGTTCGGGACACATTGAACTTGATTTCCACCGGTCAGTTTTGGATTTGGAGGTCTGCAGGCTGAGATATTCGAATCTGAACAGAGGCAGTATTTTCTGGTTTTTCTGCATATTCTCTAGTTGTTTGCTCCTTGTTGTGGCAGTATATTTGCAGTATCTTTATACTGATTTCAGCCCTTGTTTGAGACACTCTTGTACCCTATTTCTGGTCATAGTGGAGCTTGCTTGGTGGTCTTTGTGACCCGTGGTTTTTACTCTCGATTTGAGGGGTTTTCCACGTAAAAAATTCTGGTGCATCGTGTCTTTATTATTTGTGCTTATTTGCTATTAGCTTGTTGCTGTTTTTGATCCTCTTACTCTTGCAAGTGGGGAATTAGTATTTGGTGTGGTTGTATTCTCTTCTTAATTCCCATTAGAGAGGAGCTGATCCGCCCAATCCGCCGACGTCCATGCTCCGTCACAACTTCAAATTTCCGTCGCCGCTGGGGCCGCCAGAAGCGCTTGTATTTCGTGAAGGCCAGCTCCGACCAGGCCGCCTCCCTGCCGCCCTCGCCGAACAGGACATCGAGGCGGTCCGCCTGAAGCTCATGTCTGATCTCCGCCTGCACGCGGATCACAAGCAGCAGGCCATCATAGGGCCCGCTCCCGGCCCACTGCCTGCAGCCTACTCCCGCGCCATTACGTTTACTGGTTCTAAACCTCCGAAAAGGTCGGAGAGAAGCGCCATTGCTCTTCAGAAGAAGATTGATGTAAGCATTAGGCATCAGAAAATTCACTTAAATAATACTACAACACAGTAACTTTCTTAATGTGGTACCGTTTGTTTTTATATCTAATGTAATAACACTGGTCATTGTCCACTGCCACTAATCATTGTTAAAGTAAATGTCCACCGCCACTGGACATTATTTAAACTAAATGCCCACCATCACTGGATATTGTTCCTGTCACTAGACATTATTCAAGTAATATTTAGGGAATAAAAAAAGTGTAAGTAGTATATTGAAAAAGTGACATACTATCTCCGTCCATGAGTATTTGTCCAGTTTTGACTTTTTTCAGTCAAGTGTTTTCAACTTTTGACCTATAATTAAATAAAATATATATTAATATTTTAATTAAATAAAATAATATTTTAAAAATACTTGATATAATAAATCTAATAAAACTCTTTTTATATCAATATCTAATACTACGTATGATTTTTATTTAATTTGAGGTCAAAGTTTACCAATTTTGACTAAATCCTGACATGGACGGAGAGAGTATGTCTTAGTAGTATTTAGTGCAAATTACACTTAAGACATCATCTTTGGTTGACAATTGTTGTCTGTTTATATCTGTAACAAGAATCTTCTAAATTTCTCCAAAATTACAGGAGTTGCAAGCTCTTTTCCCATACCTTTCGTTGAAGGATATTACTCTTAATTGATAGATACTCATTCTCATACTCATACTCTGTCAAAGGTGGTGTTCTACCAGACATGCAATGTTTGTGTCCGAGATGGCAAGAGAGATCTCCTTCATTGCTAGTTTTGTGTAAAAGTGTTTGAATTGATTGACAAATATATTATATTTCCAAATTTATCCTTCTTTGAAATGTTCATTTGATTTTTCTTGAATTCTTTTACAAACCTCCAGTCACTATCAAAATTGATACTCCTTCCGTTCCACAAAACAATACCTATTTTGAATAGTATTTGGTCATACAGTTACACGCTTTGACTACAAATTATGAGAAAAGTATATTGAATCATAATAGAAATTTAATATAATTGGGTTCATCTTAGAATCTAGTTTTGATATATTAAATTTTTATAACATTTTTTTATTTAGATTATATTTAATTTATGGTCAAAACGTGTAATTGTTTGACAAAAAATACATCAAAATGGATAATGTTTCATGGGTCAAAGCGTGTAGAAATTTTGATGCACTCAGTTTTTACACAAAAGTTTGTACTGTTGATAAGTTAAATATGCCTTTCAACATTGCATGAACTATTTTACAAATTGATTATTATTCAAGGGTAACATGTAAATTATTATTATTACCCAAATCATACAAATACATCAATGTTAAATGCTTAACCATGATAATGGTTACATGCATATAAAGAAAATAAAAGCCTAGAACCACACAAAGTATTACAAACAAACAAATTCACAACAAAGACATTACAAAGAAATAAGATCCAAACAGATACAAGGGTCAAGCATCCCAAGATTGAGGGAGCTAAATTAGTGACCAAGAGGATCAATTCCCATCAGCAGCAATTCAGTTGTCCCGAAAATTCCAAGATTATGAAGCATAAACTTGTCCAGCAATTCAGTTATGAGGCATGATGAATAAATTTGGTTTTCTTCGTCGTCCTTAAGCGTATCAGATGCAGAAACAGGACCAGGTACTTACAAATGTATCATCCATTCATAGTGTAGAGGTGTTCCAGGCCAAGCACATGAGGCATTCTCAAGGTTAAGCACATGACATCAGAGTATTTATATTCCCAAGATTCCAGGCAATCACTATCCATCCATTCAATAAGTTTAAGCAGCATCAAATATTGGATGTGTATTAGTGTCTTAAAAGTTATCAATTTCAAAAATCTTATCCTTTTTCAATAACAAAGACGAAGAGATTTCAATGGATGTATTCTCCAAACTAGATTGATTGCTATACGAGTACTAAGGATCTGGTCAAATTAGTACCCAAGCTAATATAGTTGTAAACCGGCTTAAAGTTGTGTTATTTGGTAGAGTACCTTAAGGAAAATTTCGATTACAAAGTTTCTTCAAGAAGAAAAGAAAGGTAACGCCTAGAAACCAACCCTAGAAGTTTAATATAAGTTATAAATATTTGTTAACATTGGAGGAGATGCAGGGGTGCGATACGGATGATCCAGATGACCGTGGGGATTAGGCGAGTAGGAACAATCAAATCTATGATCGAAGCACCTTAGGTGTGCCCCAATTGAAATGGTGTCACAAAGTTACACTACTTTAGAAGTTATACTCCATGGATATTGATGTTGTGGAAACAAGCTCGGTGTTGAAAAGTTTGTGATTTCTTTGGTTTGCCTTGGAGTCCATTGAACATTATCAATGTCTTATAAAAAAAATTTAAACAAAGCTTTGTGCTCCAAAAACATCGATGTTGGTCTTTGGGATTTTGGCTTGAATGAGTGACACCCTAACATCAAAGTTTGTTGGTATTCTCGGTGCAAAAAACGAGTTAAAAAACTTAGTACACACCTTAGCATCGACGTTTGTGGTTAATAATCAATCTTGAAAACATCCTGAAATTGTGCATTTTCAGAGGGCTATCAGAATATTGATGTTGTTGATGCATATCCAATGTTATGATGGTTTTTGCCTCTTTGCCCCAGTTTTTGGTTCCTCGCATGTTTTTGCATTAGTTTACGAATTGATTTCACTCTATTTATGAAATATTTGAACATATAATTATATGAATTATTGATTTGTTTATTGATCCTTGGGTTTTTTTCTTCTTCAATTAGCAATATTATAAAGATAGGTTGAACGTATTGGATGATAAAAGTGAATTTGGAATGAATCCCTACCCTCAAAGTTTCATTACGACACTAAACTTAGATCATTTCAGAGAGCAACACTCGGAATTAGATTTTGAGTACGTTGAGCAGGTTAACGTATCTTTGGCAAGAAGAGTGAAAAAAAGTTGATGCCTTCTCAAAACCGATTTTCTATACATATCAAGGAGAGAGACCACATCTGAATTGGAAACTGTTGCTTTTACCAAACTACATTCTTCTGTGAAAACTTTTGATATTGTTGGTGTTGGTGGCTACCCCGGGGAAACTCAGAAAGGAGAGCTTAGCATCTTTGTTTAAACCTTTGTCGTGCTATCTCACTGCTTGCATTTACTGCGATTACGAAAGTTCAGCATCTAACCCAACCAGGAATTTATTCATTGTTATATTTGTTTGCTTTACTTCATTATTAATCCTTACTTTGTTTCTTTAAGACTTGGGCCCTAAGAACTCTGCTAAATCCCATTTCTAATCTTCTCAAAGATGATGTATTGTCTTTTCATGTTTGCATGCACATATTTGTAAAAGAAATATAGCATTGATTCCCTTGCGTGATGCTTAATTTTCTGTGTAGGAAATCATATACTCTTTGAGGCATTTAGACTTCCAGTTGAATGTTGTTGTTAGAAAAGTTTTCAAAGCCAGAGTTGATATCATTGCTTATATATGCAGTTTTCTTGAGCAGATGGCACTCATAGAGGTTGAAACACTCGTCCCGAAAAAGAATCCTAGTGTTGGAGCTGCTCGCCATTTTAAAGCAACCAATGATGAACTAAAAATGCAGACCTTTTGGTGCATAGCTCCTGAACTTTATTTGAAACAACTTGTGATCCGAGGATTGGAGCGTGTTTTTGAAATTGGATAGCAATTTCAGTGTGGAAATGTGGATATAACTCATCATACTGAGTTCACAACGTGTGAATTCTACACGGCATATGAAAATTACGATCATCTTATGGTGCATACTGAAAATGCAAAACTCACCACTTAATAAATTTTCAGTAACCATAAGATGATTGTAATTTTCATATGGCATGTAGAATTCACACGTCGTGAACTCAGTATGATGAGTCATATCCACATTTTCGCACTGAAATTGCTATCCAAGAAAAGACAATACATGATCTTTGAGAAGGTAAGCAACGGGATTTATCGGAGCTCCTAGAGCCCAAGTCTAGAAGAGACAAAGTAAGAATTAATAATGAAGTAAATCAAACAAATATAACAATGAACAAATACCTGGTTGGGTTGGTTGCTGAACCTCAGCAAATACAAGCAGTGAGATAGCACGACAAAGGTTTAAGCAAAGATGTTAAGCTTTCTTTTTGAGTTTTCCTAGGGTAGCCAGTAGCCACCAACACCAACAATATCTGAAGTTTTCACAGAAGAATGCAGTTTGGTAAAACTGTAAAAGCAATAGCTTCTAATTCAGATGTGGTCTCTCCCCTTGATACGTATATAAAATCAATTTTGAGAAGGCATCAACTTTCTTTTTCACTCTCCCTGCCAGAGATACGTTAACCTGCTCAGCGCACTAACATTCTAACTCCGAGTGTTGCTCTCTGAAAATCTAAGTTTAGTGACGTAATAAAATTTTGAGGGTAGGGATTCATCCCTAATTCTCTTTTATTAGCCAAAATGTTCAACCTATCTTTATAATATTGCTAATTGAAAAAGGAAAAAACCTAAAGATCAATAAACAAACTAATAATTTATATAATTATAAGTACAAATATTTCATAAAGAAAATGAATCAGTTCATAATAAAATTAAGTACAATTATTAGTTCCATAACAACAGTATAAAAGGGGAGTTGATGAGAAGAGTAAAGCGAATAAGACAAACTATAATGCTAGGGTAGTTTAGAGGTGTCTTGGTTTGTTTGTAGTTGGTGCAGTTTATTGTTTTGAATGATGCATGATGTTGTATGGACTATTGCTTATCTCTTGTTTGAGGATGTAATGAGGTTTTACCAACTTCTAAGAAACAATAGAAATGAGATTTTCTCTCTCGAATGATTAGGCATGGCAACACAATGCTAGAGTTCCTACGTACTGAATTATACAATACTTGTCTATTAGATCACTAATTGTTATATCACATTCAAATCCTCGTATTTCATTCAGATAATTAAAAGTAGATGGTATTACCAAATTTAACTTTCAACAATCAACAAGTAATGTACAGTATTTATTCAAATAAGATGCTAAATTACTTCATTACAAAAGTAAGCACACTTAAGAATACCAGTAGAATGATTCAAAAAAAAGAATACTAGTAGAAAAGAGGAATAGAAGCTAGCTTTTGAGAAATCTCTGGGTACTTGAGTAGTAACACATAAAAAACACAATGTCAAATCTATTGATTTTAATAACTAGCAAAAAAACAGCAAAAAAAACATACCTGAAATCCGCCGTGGGAGAGAAGGATCCTCGCCGGAGGAAAGAAGAATCGCCGGAGGATGGGGATGGGGATGGCTGCGCAAGAACGGAAAAGAAAATCGAAGAAGGGGAGAATGGGAACACGGAAACAGAATATTTTACCTACCTTACCCTACCTCCACCTATCTCAATCGAAGCATAGCCTAATAAACGGAAGATGCAGGATCCCAGAAGTTCGCAGAGGAGAAGAAGATGACGATCGAAGAAACCCGGCGAAGGAGGGCGACGACAAAAGGAGGCGCGAAGATCGCGAGGAGGCGATGACAAAGGAAGGCGATGGGGGTGGCGGCGTTAAGGGAAGTTAGAAACCCTAGGTGGGCGGTGGGACTGGTGAAGATCTGAGCGGACTGAGGAGAAATTGAAGAGATTTGTAAGGGATGGGGATAACAGAGTAATATCCAACTAAACGGTGAGTGAAGAAGCAATGACAATGTACTCATTTTGAAAGAATTGAACAATACTGTATTTTATTTGAGAATGAATATTTTTTTATTTAATAATGAATATTGCTTTTTTTAAGAATGAGTATTACATTATTTATTATAATTATATTAGACAAATGTCTAAAAACAAGTACTTTTATATTTTAAAATGAATACTACCTTATTCCAGAATGAGTATTACATATTTCAAAATAAATGTTTATATTTGTACAAGAATGAGTATTACTTTACTTCAAAATTAGTACTACCTAGATGTACCTATCTCTAAGTACATCTGGCTGTACCATGTACCTTCTCACCCTACCTCCACCTATCTCAATCGAATCATAGCCTAGTAATTCATTCCATACCCTATGTGGTTTGGTAAATATAAACGGTTAACTATATAGTTTCAAAATTTATGTTATTACCTCTTATAATTCTGATATTATTATGCTAAATCTCATCTAGATTAAAATATCTTTGAAATGTTTTGGGAATAGATTCACTATCTCATATAGTTTTGAAAATTGACACAAACGCCTCATCTTTTCTTTATTGTTTTTCTTTTGTTTCTACTACTTTTTCCATAAATGTTTTTAATTTCTTTTTTGTCTCAAATTAAATATATTTATTTTTTGACAAAGACAGGTCTTTATTGGTTCATTTTCATGATACAGAAATCAATTAAATATTTTTTTTCACTAAAGATTATTTCTCATCTTCTATTCATTAATTTTATATTGTTTCTTTTATTTTTATTAAAATAAAAATAAAAGAAAAAAATAGGAAAGAAAATAAAGAAAAAGAAAAGTATATGAAAAAAATATTTTTATAGAATAGGAAAAATTAAGTTATGAAGGAAATGTTTTTCGCATTAGTCCAAAAAGTGTTTTTAATATATAATAAAACACATTACTCGATATTCTTTTGATTTCAACATATTCAAAAGATAAAAACTTTTTTGGACAAAAACAAAATTATTTAATTTGACAAATAAAATATAGAGTAAATTTCATAATTGGTTATTTATAACAGATGAGTTTCTTTGTTTAACTCTCTATTATCAAATATTACCTAGTGATCCTTTTTTATATGTATCTTTTCACAAATAGTCTTTTTTTATCTTCTATCATGTTAATGTTAATTTAAGGGCTAAAAGTGTAATTTCACAATGACAATATATCTTTTTTGTCATACACAATTCCAAAGATTGCGTCGTTTGTGAATTACAATCGCTTTCAACTACAACTATAGTCTACAAATGTGATCTTTCGTCGGAATTCTAGCTTACAATTATAGTCATTATTTTTGTGTTATCTGCTTAACCAGTACCAGAATACGTCACTAGACATAATGTTGATGTCAAATTATACTTTTACCATTTAAATTAACACCAATATGGCAGAAGATCAAAAAATGACCATTTCTAAAAAGACATCATTAAAAAAAGACTACGAGGATAACATTTAATAATATATTTAATAATAAAGAACTAAATATGGAAAGCCATCAGTTATAAAAGACTAATTATAGAATTTATTCTACCCGGAGTAAAATATACTTCCTCCGTCCCCGAGTATTCGTCCAGTTTTGACTTTTGGAACTGTTCATCTAAGCACTTTGACTCATCAAAATCTCTCAATGTGTAAGCCTAAATATAGTCATGTGTGATCTTGTGTGATTTGTCTTAACATATAGATTATTAATATATAATTTCTATAATTTTTTTAATATACAAATTACAAGATAAAATGGATTAAACAAATGTATTGGATGGTATGTAAAAATGAAAGTGGACAAATACTCTGGTACGGAGTTAGTATGAGAGATGAGTAAGATTAAAAAAAAAAAGAGAGAAAGTTAAAAGTACAAGTGGGCTAAACACGTGGTGGTCGGGAACGAGTCATCATCATCCTTCATATACCGCGCGAACCTGTAAAACAAAGTGCCAAGTTAAAATGCACCCAAAGAAAGTTGATTTGATTGATTCTCACACGTTTTCCTTCCCATGTAACGACTACTCAAACCCCCGAGCACATATATCTATCGATCCATTCCGCGGAGCACTCAATTTTCAGCATATGCCTTCTTCTTCTCCATGCGTTTCTTCTGCGGGTGCCTGAGGCGGCGACTGGGACGCCGCCACGGCGGCGGCGGAGAAGATGACGCGGGAAACGACGGACCGGACTTGTTCTTCGACCTCCCCACTCTTCAGATTGCCACCAACTTCTTCTCCGATCTCAACCAGCTCGGTCAGGGCGGGTTCGGCCCGGTCTACAAGGTTAGGTCAAGCAATTTCAAGTCTCTCTGAATCCAGTTGTAATTTGAGCAGAAAGATGAACTGGCCATCTAAACCTAATCCCCATTATTCATTAATTTTGTGAAATTTTATTGACCCCATTCTGAATAGTACAGGGATTGATGCCAAATGGTCAAGAAGTTGCTGTTAAGAAGTTATCATTAAATTCAAGGCAGGGAATTGGAGAATTTACAAATGAGGTGAAACTGCTGCTGAGAATTCAGCACAAAAACTTAGTTATATTGTTGGGTTGCTGCGTCGAAGGCCCCGAGAAGATGCTTGTTTACGAATATCTGCCCAATAAGAGCCTGGACTATTTCCTCTTTGGTGAGTTCACCACTCTTTTTTTTTTGTGTCAATAATGAAACAATGTGTGGTTATGAAATCATCAATCAAACCCTTGGGTTTGCTACTATATTTGGATCCAAGAAAATGAAAGTGTTAGGAAAAGGAAAAATCTTTATAAAAAAACTTGGAAAAAATGTTGCAGAAAGTTACGGAGTATTTTATTGTGTTTGTTTTAACCACGGAAAATTAAATATGATTCATGTTTAAAAAATGATCACATGTTTTATGATTTTTATACTCCGTAGTCGTTATTATATACCCTTAGTAGAAATGGATATCTGCTCCACCCCTCCGAATTTGTTACACCTACTAAAACTTCATTCTTCATATAATTTCGTCTATCATTTCATAAAAGAACATATTCACGTCGTCTCTTGTTTTGTAGATCTTTGAACGAAATGTTTTGTTTTCCCTCACGTTTTGTTTCTTTCTTTAACCATCTTCTCAGTGTTTTTGGAGTTCCTAACAGAGCCCAAAAGTAACAAATTACGGAGTATAATTTTACAGATAGGAAGACACCTACTCCTTTAGATTGGAGAACAAGATTTCAGATTGTCTCAGGCATTGCAAGGGGTCTTCTCTACCTACATGAAGAAGCTCCAGAAAGAATCATTCATAGAGACATCAAAGCGAGTAACATATTGCTGGATGAGCAGTTGAACCCCAAGATCTCAGATTTTGGTTTGGCAAGATTGTTTCCAGGAGAAGACACCCATTTACTCACGTTTAAGATTTCCGGTACACGGTGAGAGTCTCTTTCTTCCCAATATATGAAGCCTTTGGCTACTCATCATATCAAATCCATTTGTTAAACTATGTTTGGCTCAAGGAATTTGGTAGCGAAAAGAAAAGAAAATGATATGGAAAACCATTTTTCTTGTTTGGTTAGTGAGGAAAAGAAAAGAAAAGTGGAAAGAAAATAAAAGTGAGAAAAAAATGGACTAAAAAGGGGAAACCAAATTATTTCCATTTTGGTGAGAAGAAAATAGATTAACCTAGTTGCAAGTCCTCGCAGTCTCGCTCAATCATCCGTCGCACAAAAACTCCATTCAATCCCTAATCACTCAGTTTCTCTCCCTTCAATCCCTCAATCATGGGAAAACATATTTTCCTAGCAAATTTCTCTAATACCCAAACAAAGCTAGGATTTTAGATTTTCTCTAGTTTTATTTTCCTTTTCTTCCTAATTCCTCGAAGCAAACATAAAGTTAGGAATCAAAATGGAATCCGAGTCATAATACTTTTTACAACACTGGTTAAATTTCTTGACAACTAAAATGTTACCTGACTGCAGCGGTTACATGGCTCCAGAATATGCAATGCACGGATATTTATCAGTGAAAACAGACGTCTTTAGTTTCGGGGTCTTGGTATTGGAAATTGTGAGTGGCAGAAAGAATAATGACGAAACACTTGGTCCTGAAATGGCTGACCTTTTAAACTATGTGAGTTTCATCAGTTTCATGCCATCAAATGCATGCGCTCCTTCCATATCACAATAAGTGTCATTTAGGAACTTCACAATTTATTTAAAATGGAGTAGTTTGAACTATAAAAGATGAAGGGTTTAAGTAGGGTTAGCTTTATGATCACCGAGGTTAGCGTGTCTCGGCTCCACTAGTATCAAGTTTCATTATTTGTTTATGTGAAGGACCAATCCAACCAAAAATTTAAGCTTTTGTTTCTGCTCGAGCTATTATATTTCAAAAAAAAAAAAAATCGGATGACAATGAGATTTGAGTTCATGGACTCTTGGCCAACAAGGTTGTGATGTCATATAAAGAATCAACTCAAGAAATGTTTCTAACCCAAGAAATGTTTTTTTTATACTATTGACAAAGTTTGTTCTTGCAGACTTGGACGCTTTTTCAAGCTCGTAAGACCCTAGAACTAGTTGACACCAGCCTCGAAAGCTGCAATCCTGACGAGGCAGCAATGTGCATTCAGATTGGGCTGCTATGCTGCCAATCGGCTGTACCCGAAAGGCCCAACATGAACTCTGTCCATCTCATGCTATCCAGTGATTCGTTCACTCTCCCCAAGCCTGGAAAACCCGCAACACACGGCCGGTTGGGGAGATGGGCCACCACGGGTTCGAGCGGTTTCACCAAAAGTACTGGTTCCAGCAGCGCACAAACAGGAGTCACTAAGACCTCAGGAGGCAATTCGATATCCTATTCTTCTTTGGATGAAGGCAGGTGACTTTCATTTGTAGGACTCTAGGGCCTAGTTGGATGGAGGGGTTTGGAGGGAATGACAATGGAGAGCTAAGCTAGTCTATATCTTGATCAGTGGAATGTTTTTTCAAAATGAATAAAATTTGGTTGAAATGTTTCGCACTCGCAAGGTAGTCAAACTCTAGATTCTACGTAGGATCGATGGGCCTAATGAAGATCGTAACATCGTAAGATTGTGACTCGGATCGTAAGATCCTACTATCTATATATATATATATATATATATATATATATATATATATATATATATATATTAAATTTTTATAAAACATAACACAAATTCAAGTTGGATATTAGACTTACCCGTTTATAATCTAAATTACCCTTTTGAAGTATAACCCACACTCCTTATATATAATTAAAAATCATACATATAACCTGGGCAAAAATTGAGACTGGGAGGAGACGCGCAGGGCAACAAACTTTGCCGCGTTAGAAGGGAGAAGGCTTCGAAGCTACAAAATACTCAAATTGGAAGTCGCGAAATCATCGTGATTCAAATTGGGAGTAGCGAAATAGTCGAAGCGACTGAATCGACAAAATCGAAGCAACAAATTAGGGCTTTTCAATTTCCGATTCTTTTCTTTGTTTAGATCGGCGATTTCCTGCGATTGTGCGATTGCACGATCCAGATCGGCGATTCTTCCGACCCTAAGGATTCTTGCGATTTTGACTGCGAGTTGGATCGGAACCCTCCTGGCAATCTCCGGAATCGTACAATCGTACGATCCGGATCGCGATTTTGACTACCATGCGCACTCGCATATTATAGTATTCTTTCATTTATTTATTTATTTATTTGTAAAATCTCAAATAAATATCAAGATATAGATTGTAGGTGTTTCAAAGTATTTTTTGTCCAATCCCTTTCATAGCATTTAATCCAAGCAGATTATGTTGTTCATTATTAGTAGATATGTATTTTTTAAAAAAAAATAAATAACTCTACTACGAACTAAAACCCATAGAGTTATTACCTCCAATGGAGATTGAACACATTACCTCTCATTTAAGTATTGGAATTAACATGCTCATGTAGATATATGATTATTTTCAGTTAGTAGAATGAATTATGGCAGTATTAAACTATTAATGTTACCATTAAGGGAGTTGTAGGGTTATTATTTTGTAGGGTTGTTATTTTTATGCAAATGATGATGTTTTGTACACTTGAAAGGTGTGACTAAAATGAAATAAAAGTGGGTGGTTGCAATAATTATGGTTGTTCTTTATCTCATTGTGCTCATTTTTTTCCATACCCATAATTGAAAATGTTGATTTGTTGTAATAGGCATAAATTTAGATGAGGATTTGTTGACATGGTAAAATATTATTTTTTTATTAAGTTTTTTAATTTCCCTGAGCATTGTTTTGGAATTGTTTTTGTTGGTGAATTACATTGAAATTCTTGATAACACTTAAATTCTACAAGTGCTGCAAAGAGGAATCAAAATAAGGGGACACGATAACTCGACAAGTGCTACGTGACAAGAGAACGTCAAATCACAAGTTATATTGTTGTTATAATAACATAAATTTGTAATATAAATATTTCGCTCTCCACTCGTAAATGATCATATTTTAGACTTTCTTTTTTAGGCAACGAAAGTGCTTGTATTAACTATTCTTTAGCTTTTCTCATTATATTCTAACCTCCCTTAGTATCCAAAAACCCAGAGGAGATTCTTCAACTTTATTTAGCAACGTATTCAAAATTAAATACATAACGATTAATATATTTGTTATTCAAGCTAAATATGAAAGAGGTTTATACATGTTTTCTAATTTTTCTTAGCCATAAGCAAGTAATTACTATTCTGAAGACACTTGAAATCGTCTTTTACCAAACAATACCCCATATTTAACAATCAAATCAATCAATTATAATTAAGTATTGTGCGTCCGTTTGACATTAGATTTAGCATTGAGTTTCACTGTTTTGAAAATTGTTATTATAGAGTTGTACAAGTTTTAACGTTTTCAAAGTTAACCTACATCATTTAAAAATTATACAAAATGCTAGTAATATTTTTTTATAACGAAAAATGCTAGTAATAATTAAAAAAAAGTTGTTCCTAGTTCTATAGAGCACTCTGTACTATGTCAGTGTTTCTCTGTACTTATAAACTGTTTAAAACTTTTTATAAGCAATTTTAACTTATACATCGGCTGATGACATATTTTTTAATTAAATAATTCTCAGTTATTTAATTGGGAATTATTTTAAAACGTCTTTTTACCTCTGAACCTCTTTGGGCCATGAATAAAACTCTGAATTAAAGGGCTATGCAGCCCATGAAGATAAAAACCGATTGTCATCAGATCCATCGTGAAACACATATCAGCAAATATCAGCCGTCAAATGCATGTTGATAAACACCAAAAACCCTAAACACCCTCCTTTCTCATCCCTCAACAAGCAAGCCTGAAGCGGGCCGAGCATTTCCCGGCGTGCACGCTCGCCGGAGTTAACTCGCCGGTATTCTTCCGTTTTTTTAAACCTTCATTTCTAGTTGTGTTTTTTATTTATAGTTTTTTGGGTCCGTTATTTAGAGCTTTATTTCATATTGAAAAATTCATTTGATCTTTTTGTTCATGATAAAGATTTGATTTTTGGACCTCCTGTTTTTCTATCGTGAAAATGTTAACTTTAGAAGCCTCTTTTTCATTTTAGTTAAGAATTTTAATATCAAGCACCCTTAATCTTATTTTAGCCATCTATGCCTATTTACATTGTATTATTTGACCATAACCTCCCTGTTTTTTTAATTTCTCTAAATTATGAATTGGGAGGTGGATTGTTCTGCATGTGAAGTGGTTCTTGTGCTTATTCAGATCACTTGATGTTCATTATGTATCTATGTTTTAAAACTGCTTGTTTGAATTTTATTTTAGATTCTTTTGTTGGAATCATATACCATTGTTTAGCAATGTGATTTTACTGAATTTGGCATCAAACGATCAAATTGAATTTAGATTTGCGAAGATGTATTCGTCATACACGAAAATCCGCAAGGATGAGAAGGCTGAACCTACTGAATTTGAGGAGTCTGTTGCACAGGTAATTTCATCCCCTGTCTAAAAAATCCCATTTGGACCTTTTATTTTTCTCCTAAGAAAAGTGTCCCAAAATTTATTACTCCATAATAGTTTTAAGTGCAAAGAAAGTGTCCAAATACAGAATAGTTTTAGTTTAAATTTAGTTAGGCCAACAAATAAAATTCAAAAGCTAGCTATTGTTGATTATTTCAAATTCCTTTACCTTTTTAAAATTTAAGTTCTACTTTTATAAAACTTGTTTCCTTTTTATGTGAAACGTGGAGTATTAGAAATCAATTAAAACCCGTTCATCTTTTCCTTTGCACTGTTTTCTTGAATAGTTTATCAAGTGTTTAAATAACAGGCTTTGTTTGATTTGGAAAACACAAATCAAGAGCTCAAGAGTGATTTGAAGGACCTGTACATCAATTCTGCCTTGTAAGGCTGATTTATACACTAATTTTTTGGTTAAACGTTTCTTGGTTCTATTATGTGTATACTCTGTATATTTTTGTAGACAAATTGATGTCTCCGGAAACCGGAAAGCTGTGGTCGTAAGCGTTCCCTATAGATTGAGAAATTCTTTCCGCAAAATTCATCTCCGGCTTGTGAGAGAACTTGAGAAGAAGTTCAGTGGAAAGGTAATTTATACTCTTGAAATGCAAAATGTGGATGCATTCTACATCCCAGGCTCATTAAATCTGCCTGATTTTTCTATTGTGTAGTCAATATTTTCTAAATTCTAGACCGTGTATTTTTATCCAAAATTTTGGAAGTCATTGGCTGAATCGAAAAAAAACCAAACAAACCAATCCTGAGATCACTTTGATTTATTGTCACATTGAATTTAGAAACACTCTTTGATCTTATGCATCCACACGTCTTTTAAATTCTGAAGAACATATATTTTGATATATCTTTACTTGTAACTGTAATATCATGTTAGGATGTGATTGTGATTGCTACCAGAAGGGTTGTGAGGCCGCCAAAGAAAGGTTCTGCTGTTCAACGACCACGCAGCAGGACGCTCACTGCTGTGCATGAGGCACTTCTGGAGGACGTTGTTGTCCCGGCTGAAATTGTTGGGAAGCGTGTCAAACACCGAATTGATGGATCGAAGATATTGAAGGTAAATTGGAATTGTACTTGGGAGGAGGGGGGTGGGTTGCTATTTTAGTATCCTATATATTCAATATTTGGTCATGTAACCCTTAGAACTGACCTCAACATAATTAGGCCCTTGTCTTGAAGATGTGTCCTTTTATTCATTGGGTTCACACAATCTTTAAATTCCTCCCAATGAATATGTTACCCGCAATTACCACGGATACCCACAACTTTTATTAATCATTACATTATGCAAAGTACTTCAGAAATTTATAAAAATGTAATTCGAATGTAATATTGAAAAATTAAACTAAGGTAATAACTTATGCCCCTTGTGTCTTGGTGTTTTCATTTGGTTTCTTCTACACACATGGACAAGTAGATGGGAATGGAGAAGTAAGGTCCAAATAACCCTTATTATTGAAAGAGGGTAAATGAATAGGGTGAGTCGTAAATGAGACATCATTATGCTTTACTTTTCACTTTAAAAGGGAAGTGGACAAATACATTGGGACAGACCAAAAATAGTTACTCTACTGCCTCCTCAAGTGCACGGGGATGGAATCAAGTTTATACTTTGATCTAAGTTAGAAAATAACTTAAGAGATTAGTGGCAAACAATACTATATATTCACTTCTACTAGAACTTTCAGTTTTGTGCTATTTCCTGAAATTGTTCTCCCATATGCAAAATAAGTAATGGTTACGTCGGGTAATTTCCATTGTTTATTTAGCCTATCTCATGTGTATTTAGGGAAACATAGAAGAGGCTCACAAATCTCTTTAAAATATTACTTGTATTATACAAGTAGTTGGTACCAGCATGCGTGGGATCAACAAATTGTCTTACAGAATATTTGAAAGCTCACACTTTGGGATACATTTGGGACAAAAGGGGTGTTTGGAACAATTAACACAAACATTTGGTTGCCAAACAGAACCTTAGTAAAGAGAATTGAATACACACCAAGATCCCTGGTTATACAATGTTATTTCTTGTACAGGTACTGTTGGATCCAAAGCAGAAGAATGACACGGAGTACAAGCTGGAGACATTTTCTGCTGTATACCGTAAGCTTTCGGGGAAAGATGTTGTCTTTGAGTACCCCATTACAAGCGAGGCTTAGATTTGTTCTGCCCATATATATGGCATTCTGACAGAAGCAAACCAGATGTTGACTTCTTTTGAGGAAAAAATTGCCTTAGTAGTTTTCATTTTTCTAAAAAATGTCAAGTGCACTTAGGTCTTTTTTTTTTTTGAGAACTTATTTGTTTAATTTGTCCTGATATTGGATATCAATTACGAGTATTCTCATTTGCTGTGTTGGGGTATTTACCTGGTACTCCGTACTTTTGTGCGGGTTATATATGTATCATATATACGAGGAGATTTAATGTTATGGAGTACAATATTTTTCAAACCGAATACATTTTTTGTAACGATTATATCTTTTAGGTTAAATATGTTTTTAGTCCTTGTAATATAGATGAGTTCTTTTTGTTCCTATAAAATATATTTCACTTAATTCATCCTTCAAATCAATGTAATTATAATTCGGTAATTCCTAATAAGTTGAGATAACTGATATTTTCTAATCTTAGTTTGCATCCCTAATTATCTCAGATCTAATGTCTCATATTGTGTAACTATTCATATTAAATTCTCCATTTCTATATTTTTTCATGACAAATTTTTTTCATGATCAATCCCCATTGATGTGGACACAACATATAGCAAGGTTAGCTTGTCTAAGATAATTAGCATAAGATTAAGTTATAGTTATGCTTGAGGATCATTTGCAAAATAAAAATTTTTTGCAAAAATGAATTTATTAAAAAGTACATAATATTTTTATAATAATATTTTTATAAGGACTAAAAATAAAAATCATCAATTTTTTAAGGTATCTACTACTCCGTACTTACACTTTGAACATGTTAAGTAATAAAACAATTGCAGGTTTTTGAAAAATTATAGGATGTAATCTAAATTTTAGTGTGTTTGAAACAATTCTATATGTGGGAGTATTTTTTGGTACGCCTTAAAAAAATAATATTTTTCTACTTTTTTAGAATACCAATATACAAATTCATTCATTCATTCACAATTTGAAAAAAAAATATAATACAATTTAATCTTTTCCTGTTTTATTATTCTTCTTAATAATTGTTTTAAAACAACTTTAGCATTTGTTCTTTCAAAGACAGAGTATTATCAATGCAATTTAAGTTCTGCATTCGAATTGTCCAGACCAAAAAAATGATTGGGGTACACGACCAAGTTACACCCCAGCCTTCTCCACTTCAGGATTTTTGTGAATAAAATTTTTTTGAGTGTAGATAAAAATTGTGTAGTTGGAAGAATGGTGAATACAATTAGTGTCAAATAAGGACACTTGTGAAATTATCCTTGTACAAATATGTAAAAATTTTGCATCCAAATAATGTCACATTTTTGCCCTTGATGCATCAATTCCCATGGATGGTATAACGATCAAACTTCCTGTTTGGGTCATATATCTGCACACAAACCAAAAAAAAGGAAAGAATAAGTTCCTCTTCATCTGAACTTATTGAATGGCTCAAGGTTTCAGCTCCGAGAAGAAAGGGAAATACTTGGTTCACAAACACAATGGTCACAAACATCACAAACTTACTATTTGTGAACTTCAATGAAAAAAATTAAATGGTCTAAAATGATTTTAAAATGAAATTTTAAACCACAAATAGTAAGTTTGTGAAGTTTGTGAATATTCTGTTTGTGAACCTAGTATTGCTCGAGAAGAAAACGTGCAAATGCATAAATAGAGGAATTCATGGCTTACCTCCCACCGAGAAGCCGGGAAAATATGCTTGTTTTTCTCGTACCAATGTCTTTCCACAACTTTTCCCGCATGCGACTGTATATTGTTTCAGAGGAAACACAAGTAAGATCGCAAGGGCTTGTTTTGTTGTTTGGTATCACTTTTTATTTTCCTTTTTTAAATCAAACTAAGAACAAATTCTGGATACCTGAAAAGTTGTTCTTTTTTATTTTTTTGTTGAAAAGTTTTCAAAATTAACATAGGAATAATATATTTAAATTTATTACCAAACTAATATCATATACCACTGCAAAACATTTAAAAAAATACTGGCATTAAAAGGCAAAAGTGAATATAGAGTAGGAATGTGTACCTCATCCTTCTCTATAGTTGCATCAGCTGTTGTGCGCACGTCTTCGTGGACATCAAAATGGAAAAGCTGTGTCGAAATGTGGATTAAAAAACAGATAGTATGTTTAGCTGGAACCCAAGTAAGGCTAGTGAGTTCTTAATATCATGAAGCCCCTAATACTAAAATGACATGCACTGTGAAGCCGGTGACGGATTCAATATTCAAGTTATGTACCATGACATATAATAAATCTTAACAGGTGGGTAGGAAAGAATTTTTGTTGAAATTTCATGTATTAAAATAGAATACACAATATTCTTATAGATTAATATGAATCTATATTCAATAATGTGCATGAAGATCAAGGAAAGTTGTATGATTAAGAAGGTTACCGGTCCACTCTTCCCTCTTGCCTTGTTAACTATCAGCTCATAGAAACTGTGTTGCTGAGAACCCATTGTCATTAGAAAATAGAGTTAATTAATGACCAATGTAATGAACACAAAAATATAGACATATATTAGTACATGCATGCATACATATATATAGGTAAGTATTTATGTCAGCATGTATATATGTGTGTGTTTCTTTGTGTGTGTGTGTGTGTGTGTCTATAGGAGCCAAAACTAACTTGTAACATCTTACATGAGGAATAATAAGATCTTCTTTCACATAAAGCAGGTTCTCCACAGATGTAGTTCGAACCTCTCTAAACTCAGGGGCAAGTTGCTGCTGAACAGCACGAAGGAATTCTCCAATACTATCACCCTTCCGGACCTATAAAGAGAAGTGGCATAAAAGCAACAAAAAACCAAATTATTTTATTCGACATATAAGAGGCTAGTCTAACTCAAAAGTTGCAGATATTAACCTGGATAACTCGTCTATGACCTGTTCCATCCCAATAACTATAAGTGATTTCAAGGGGTTCATCTGAAAAATGCAGATCCAAGATAAATGGGCTAAAGTTATTCAAACATATGCCTCGAATAAAAAGTATCGTAGTAGAATGATGTAGTTACTTTTGATCAGTTGCTGTTCCCGAAACCATTGATTCTTTAGCCTTTCGCGTTCAGCTTGCTCCTCTGCTTCCCTCTCACTGAAGAAGTGAACTTTGAATCCCAAGGGCCATATATGAGTAGTAAAACAAGAACAAGAGAAAGACGAGAAGATAATGGGATAACAATAATCTGAGGGGAGGAGGGAGATAGAAAAAAAGAGGTAAAAAGGGATTCCGAACCTGTCTGGCAAAAAGCTGGTTTCTACGGTGGGATCTTTCCCAAATTTTCTTCTTACAGGATTCTCCAATTCTTTGAGTGCTATGCAAAAAAGGGATATGGTAAAAAAAAGTGATATGTACCCAAAAACCTCTCAAACTCTAACACTATGTTTGGTTCAAGGAATTTGAAAGGGAAAAGAAATGAAAATGAAGTGGAAAATAATTTTTCTTGTTTGGTTAGAGAGGAAAAGAAAGGAAAAGTGGAAGGAAAAGAAAATGATAATGCAAAATATACTTAGTGGAGGGAAAACCAAATTCCTTGCATTTTGGTGAAGAAAATGAGAGAAAATCATTTTCTTTGCTTTTCCTTCCAAATTCCTTGAACCAAACACAATGTAAAGGTGGAATGTACTAATAACTGCAAAATGAATCCTCTAAGTTAACTCTTATCCACCGGAGACTAAATGCAAAAATAACTAGAGCCAAAGCCTATTAAAAACATCACAAGACTTCAATAAGACGAGCATGGAAAGACATAGGCTTACTATTTTCCACGTCTTCCTCTTCGATTCCATTGTCAAAATCATCACAGAATGACAATCTAGGGTCTGCTTTAACTTTACGCTTCTTAAGCTTTTGTAACAGAAGTTCCTCCTCCCTAATCAAAATACAATTTCAGCATAACAGGAGGAAGAAAAATTGAAGTAACACTTAACATTACACATGTATAGCAAACTCTCAAATGTTTAGCTCACTCTTGTTGTAACTTCTGAAGCTTCTCCTTCTCTTCCTCTTCAATTTTTGTCCTGATATTCACCCTCTTCAATACATAAGCCCAAATGCATTGCATGTGAGAAAGTGTTTCAACAAATTGTCCTCATTTGATTAACATAGCAGCTAATTTTAGGGCCAGAGTACTTACTTTCTCAACGTATTCCTCTCTAGTAACAAGACCAACAGTTTCCTTCTTGAATGTGGTCTCAAGAATCTGAACATCAAAAAACAAGCATTGCCACATACAAATTCAAAAATAAGAACTCAGAACAACAAACCCAGTATAATCCTCTCTGTGAAAACAGGGAGAATTTCATTTGGGTGAGGAAAACAACTTTCTTTTCATTTTGGTGAGGAAAAGGAGAGACATCTCTTTCTTATTTCGTTCATTCCAAATTTCACAAACCAAACATAGCGTTAGTGCCCAAAATCACAGACAATAAGAAACATGCAAATTTTGACAGGAAAATCAGAACTCAACATACATAATCCCCAATACTTATACTTCAAAAGAAGCAAGCAAAGTAACTACATACAAGCGGAACCCCTAGAAAAAGCTAAAATCATACTGAAACTATGAATGATAAAGTATGGATAAGAATACCTCTGATGTACTGGAGCCGAACTGAAGAAGGCCAGGCTGTCCTATAGATGAAGCAGTTTTGTTCTTGAGCTCCTGAATTTTCCGCCGTTCTGCTTCACGCTGCTTCTCCAGCCGGCGGATTTTCACGGCATCCTGGGCCGTCCCGACGTAACCGTCTCCCATCCCCGCCATATTAGATTCAGATTCTACAACTCCTCAGAGAATTGGGCTTTGATGTATCAGGGATTTTGAATGTTCAGGTTGACCTAGAATATGAGAAGGAAATCAAGAACACAAATACTCCTTTACTAAAAAATGATTATTTGGGCGTTCTAAAAACCATTTTCATTTGTTTTATTTCTTTTAAGGTAATGAACATATGGCTTACTACCCACAAGATTTCTCTTTTATTTAAACAAATTTCAACTAAATATTTTAGATTTAGAAAAATTATACATAATAGTCTCAACTTCATACGGTCTTTCAAAAATAATCCTAACCTTTCAGGCTGACCTAGAATGTGAGAGGGAAATAAGAACATAAATACTCCTCTACCAAAAAACGATTATTTGGGCGTTCTAAAACTATTTCATTTAAATTTCCTTTATCTCCGATGGAGCCAAAATTTCACCATTTTTTGGCTTTGGGGTGTGATAGAATAAATCAAAATGGATCTCTAAACTATCTGCGCTTCTCTAATTAATGAAGTAGCAGTTAGTCAAGCAATGCAACTTTTGACGTTGAGCCGGGGGTCTCTTTTGAAACAGCCTCTCTACTTTCGAGTAGGGGCAAGGTCTGCGTACACACACTCTCCCCAAACCCTACTCTTGTGGGATTTAACTGGGTTGTTGTTGTTGTAAACACATAAAATTGTTTTTTTAGCACACTTTGCCTAAAAATTGTAAATCCCTAATTTTCTCCATCTATCTCCAAGTCAACTCTTTGATTCAGTTTTCGTTCTCAACTGTAAAAAACACTTCAAGAAACAAGAACCATAGTTCACAAATCTATCCCGTAGGTGAAAATAGGCAAAGAAAAATAATAGAAATAATCAAAAAAAGTAGAAAATAAAAGTTTGAGGATCGAAGCCTCGAAGGTTCAAGAGAAATACCTTAAAAACCAAGAAAAGCTTCGATTTTTGTTTTCCCCAATCTGCAGCTTGCGCTCGTCTCACTGTCGCTTCCTTTCTGCTCTCTTCAATTTTTTGATGAGAAATTTTACCTAAATATGACTAAAACATAATGACTTTCTCAATATAGGATCATATGTTTTTATTTCCCTTTGCCCCTTTGGTCATTATCAAGTAGTCATTATTCAACTAAATGTCCATCATTACTGGACATTATTCCTTTCATAAGATCATTATTAAGTCCTATTTAGAAATAAAAAAGTTTAAGTCCTACATTAGGAAAGTCATTATGTTTTAGTCATATTTAGTGCAAATTTCACTTTTTTGATATCTCAAAAATATGAATGTCGTATTAAAAAAAATGCTTTAAGGTTTAATGGGTAATCGGGTTATGGGCTTAGCAGGTGAGTAGATTTCTTCTTTAAAAAAAGAGCAATGCTAGGGGTACACCAAAAGGTGTACCCAAATGTACACCACCCCCTTCTCCACCACACATTTTTATTTGATTTTTATTTACTTATTTTTTTTAAATTTTTTTTGCCTTTTTTAGTGGACAAGGAGGGGGTGGAGGACATATGGGGTATACCTTTGGTGTACCCCTAGCATTTTTCTTAAAAAAATAGACCCATCTAATTTGGGGCCCTATTCATTTGCATTGGAAAAACTATCGTAGCACCACCAGCCCGGTTTTCTGGACGCAACTTATTTATTTTCTTGATCTTACATTTGGACTGTGTAATGATACTTTGGACGGTGTAATGATACAGGTTAGTCGTTCAAGAGTTGCGAAAGAACGTTATCGATGCAATTATTGTATCAGAAAATAATGTTGGAAAGAAAGTTTACATACCAAAAATTAATTTGGTATCCTCTGATTTTTGATGGCCATTTAAGCTTCAAAAAAAGATAATTCCTAATATTTTTATGTTTTGCCATGATTATCAATAAGAGTCAAGGCCAAACATTATCATTTGTTGGATTGTTTTTTACCAAATCAATATTCACTCACGGTCAACTTTATATTGTAGTTTCACGAGTAAAAGCAAATGCATAATTCACTCACGGTCAAAATCAATATTCACTCACGGTCAAATCAATATTCACTCACGGTCAAATTTACAACGGTAACCCTTGCAACTTCACCAAAAATGTGGTTTACCTCGAAGTTTTCCAAAAGATTTAGATTTAAATTATACATTTACATGTTCTTTTCAATTTACATCTAGATGAATTTCGGTTAGCAAACATTTCTGGTATATCATTCATTAAAATTCTAAAGTTCGATATTATATTTTGCTATATTTTTTAATTATTAGCTAAGAAGAAAAAGATAACTGAATAAAAATGTATTCGTTCAATCCCGTGTGTGGCACAGGTAAAAATACTAGTTTGGTTAAAAAAAGAGTAATTTGAATTTTTTGTGTCATTTACCTTCAAACCTAGAATTGAGAGATCATTAATGCAACATTATTAAATGTCCAGGGACAGTACAAATTTTAAAGGAGTCATTCTTCTTGGGTCTTATGGTCGAGTGAATCGATGGTGGACCTAAGGTCTACATGGACCATCTTACATATATTTTTGAACTTTAAAAAAACTTATTTTAATATTTGAAAATACTTATTTAACATATATGAAGATTCACTATGGAGCGTATATAGGTGCACGTAATAATTTGTCTAACGAATAAAGTGACTCGCCAGTTTTCTCACATCCAAAAACTTTTAATTATTTAATTTTAAAATTTTTGTTTAATTTTATGAAGTCAAAATATATATATTCCTCGGTCCCAAAAATATTGAAATTCTTCACTATTTCAAAATCATGTAAACTTTAATATATTTGTAGCGATTTCATTGATTATTTGATAGAATCAAATACTCCGTATTATTATAGCAAGTTGTTTTGTAAATGTTTTAATATTTTTGATGTACTTCTTAAAAGAACGAGTTATACGGAGTATTTTTTTAATTTTATACCAAACACTAAATCAAATGAGTTGAATAACTTAAGAGATGGGGAGTAAAAGGGAGAAAGACCAAACTAGGACTAAAACATTGAAAATATACCAAAATAGGACTTCTATGTTTTTATTTCCGGAATAGGATTTACATTACCAAACATGGTCATATACATTACCAAAAAAGTATAGTAATTTGCACATGTACACTGCCACATTACCACAGTGCAAAGTCACATTACCACAGTGCAAAGTCCTATTCCGGAGAAAAAAGCATGAAAGTCCTATTTCTATTTTTTTATTTTTTTAAAGAATATACGGAGTAAGAGTGTAAGTTCATGCGCATGCAGTGGGGTCAGAAAATAATGCAAAACTCAGGTCAAAAAGAGTGTTAGGTTGGTACATTAGTACATACGGAGTATATGAATAATATGAAGTCTATGCTACGGAGTACTCCGTATTATTTAGAGGGGGGTTAATCTCGGTCCAAAAGATGGAATCGCCCACCCCAGGCGCCCCCACCCCCTTGCCCGACAGGAATGGTGGAGGAAGTAAATCATGGTGACTCAGTCGGCCAAGAACGCTAGACCCGTGCCCACCGCGCACAAGGAGCCTCCTCACCCTTTATGGGATTTTTGGATAGCTCCCACACTGCCGCTTGCGGGACTCGATCCCTGGTCAAAGGGGGGGTTAATCTCATCACAACAAGAGTTGTCCATAACAATTTTACCAAAGGGGTGTCTTTAGCGTGGGGGCGGGGAGGTGGGTATGTGGGTAGGGGTTTAGGGGATGGATAGGGGTAGGAACGTAACGCTCAATTTTACGCGAGAACATATTTTATATTCTGTATATATGTTTTAAAAAAGTATACGAGTGTATTTTGATTTTTGCCCAGTTAGGTTTCACGATTTTAGGATCTGAGGAGGATGTGTATGTAGACATCGTCTCTACTCAAAAGTAAGAATGATACCTAGAGACCCCTGGCTCATGTATGTAACATCAATAATAAAAGATCAAAGAGGCACTAGAGTAAAGACAGCACAAAGCAAAAGAGACAAAGAGCAAACTAAAGTTAACGAAGAAAATCACATCAACTGTCACCAAGCATGAAATGCATGTCTAGCTATACTAATTCTATATAAGGCCATATATATATGAGCAGTTAGGGCAAGAAGTTTAATTCATGTCTAATCACCTCTATATCTTTCCAATGCTTTTTAGGTTTACCCCTTCCCCTATTCCCGCCCATCGACGTAAGCTTCTCGCATCTCCGCACTAGCCCATTAGTACTCTGTCGTCTCACATGTCAAAATTCAACCACCTCAACCTAACGTCCCGAAACTTATCTTCCACTAGTCCCACGTCAACCAGTCCTCAGATAACCTCGTTCTAAATCTTATATATCTGTCCTCGTCTAACCAAACATCAAATAACATTTACATATCGGTTGCATGCAGCTGGCAAATGTGGTTTTCTTAACTAGCCAGCACTCTGCACCATATAACACAACTGGTATGACCATGGACCGATATAACTTATCTTTCATCCTAGTAAAAATCTTATTATTGCACAATACCCCTAAAACCAACATCCGCTTCAACACGATGCGCAACATCCCGTCCAATTATCTACCTATATTATATGTCTGGGAAACTAAAACTAGTCTACTTTGAGCACTGGGTGAGACTGAAACTTACTTCCACTTCTGGTTCTGTATCCTGGCTACTAAAAACACATTTTAAGTATTCAGCTTAAATCTTTTGGATTTTAGGGAAAATGTTAAGAAGAGTCTCACATCGAAACTTGAAGAGAAAACAAATAGGTATATAAGCTTTTGAATTCAATCTTTTAATGTGGTTAAACTTAAATGTTTATGGTCCAATTCAGTAATTCTTTTCTCATCCTAAATTTTATCATGGACCACTATCACAAGCTTAATCTTTTAGTTGAATTAATTCGTTCATTGACATAAAAAGAGTAATGTTAGAGCCACAAACAACTTGGACAATACAAACTACACAAACTTGTCATTTGTGCATTTTCTCAAGAGAATAAAATAATTTTAAATAATTAAAGGATAAAACTTGAAATACATAAATGACAAATTTGTGTAGTTTGTGTCTCAGTTGCTCGAAAAACACCAAAATTCTAATTTATCGTTTAATCCCTGGCGTGTATCATCAATAAGCACATGTATGTATGTATGTATAAATGGTGGGTAATGAGACATTTAGAGAG